CTTTCAGTTTTTCCCCATTCAGGATGATATTGGCGGTGGGTTTATTATATATGCTTTGATTATGTTGAGATACTTTCCGTCTATACCTAATTTATAGAGGGTCTTTGTCATGAATGAGTGTTGGATTTTATCAAATGTGTAAGGATTAAATGAACCCTATGCCACAGGCGTGTACAATCAATGTTTCAATTAAAAAAATTTTTTTTTAACTAATTTAAAAAATGAACCTGCTGTGGATTGATTGAATTGTGTCCCACAAATTTCATATATTAGAAGCTTAATCCCCATTATAACTGTTGAAAGTAAGATATCCTATTATGGTAATTGAAAGGTGAGGCCTTGAAGAGGTGATTAGATTGTAGGACCATGCCTAGTGAATGTACTAAAAATGGTGGTCATGGGAGTGGTTTGGAGGGTTTTAGAGGGAGAGTGAATGAGGAGGTTGCTCTCTGCCATTTTTGGTTTGTTTGTTTGTTTATTAATTAATTAATATTTGTTTTAAAAGATGACCGGTAAGGGGATCTTAACTGTTGGCTTGGTGTTGTCAGCACCACGCTCTCCCAAGTGAGCTAACTGGCCATCCCTATATGGGATCCGAACCCGTGGCCTTGGTGTTATCAGCACCACACTCTCCTGAGTGAGCCACAGGTCGGCCCTGCTTTCTGCCATTTTTACAATGTGATACCCCGACGTCACTGTTGCCACAACGGAGGCCTTCACCAGCTGTGTTCCCTGGACTTCGGACTTCCTAGCCTCTGAAACTGTAAGCGATAAATTTTGTTTTTTTTTTAATAAAATACCCAGTTCCGTGTATTTTGTTATAAACAACAGAAACGGACTAATACAGAACCCTATGCACAAAGCCTGGCACAGACTAAGAACCTAATAAATGGTAGAAATTATTTATTGAATGGATAATAATGGCTAACTGAGCACTTCAGGCGTTTTACAGATATGGGATGAATAGATAAATGGGAGGGCTAGAAATAATGAACGAATAATACCTCGTACAGAATAAGCCCCTTGGATCAGAACCCTTTCCCTCTGTCCTCGCCCCTACTGCTCCCAGGTCCGGAGACTCCCACGTGGTGAGTTTCTCCCCCGCCGCGCAGCCGGACCTGAGACCTTTTATACCCTGAGGCAGCGCAGGGTGTCTCAGCTGGACCAGCCGTCGGGTGGCGCCCGCGCCTCCAGGCAGTCTTCCCGGGGGCAGGAGGCGGAGCTCGGGGACGACCTGGGCGGGGCGAGGGGGAGCCGGAGCGAACCAGAGCTGGGCGCGGTGGGCGGGGGCCGGGAGGGGCGAGCGGGCGGGGGGCGGAGGCCACAAACTTGCTGGCGCGCCGGGTCGCCGAGTCTCAGCGACCCGAGCCGGCTCTTTTTGAAGGCTCTTGCAGAGTTAAAAGCACATTCTGAGCTCCAGCCAGAGTGGCGCCTTGCACGTGTTAACAGCAAACACAGAAAGCTAACATTTTGCGTCACCGGTAGTTATCGCTAAAAGTCTGCATGTGAGTTCACAGTTGGGGGGATTAAAATTAAAATTAAAAAAGAAGTCTGAATGTGAGGCCCAGCCTTGCGTGTGTCCTGCAACAAGGGGCCTCCTCTTTGTTTGGTTTTTCTTTTGTTGTTTTCGTGTGTGTGTGTGTGTGTGTGTGTGTGTGTGTGTGTGTCAAATTCCCTGACCCCGATCTACGACCGTCTGGTTTTGTAGAACTGTGGACATCTCAGTGATTTTTGAAGGAGCCGGTCCACAGGTGGCTTTTGGAGCATCATGGTGTTTAAAGCACCCGGACATTATGCAAGTACATACCTAAGCAACCTCGGCGGTCCCTCTGCGGAAGGCAACAGGGACAAAGAATATTGGGTAGGAGAGAGACTACTGACAGAGTACCTATTAAAAGAGCATCAAGAAGCCTCCATTGCAGGTACCACAAAAGTAGGCCCTTATCCCCAAAGGCGCTAACTCTTCGGGTTTTCCCGCATGCCGCCACGCGGAGCTCCCGGAACCCTGTGGAACGAGGGAGGGGCTGAGATTCCCCCAAGCCGCAGGGGGCGCTATTCTGTTTGCTCTGACAGGAATGGGGCACCGGTATCTTTCCGTGCTTGCGCGGTCAGGAAGCCTCACTTCCGGTTCTGCGCGCGCACGGCCTGAGTGCTCCCGGCGCCAGGTAGGTGAGTGGAGGTTGGTGTTTTCTCAGACTCTGAAGCCCATCGCCCCTTGGGACTTTTCCCCCACGTGCTGCGGAGATACGCGCCACCCCAGGTGTCTCTCTGCGTGACCCCCAACCATGCATTCCTCTCGTGCCCGAGCATTCCTCCCTCAGTCTGCCTCAAGGCCACAGCGCCGCCCTCTCCCCACGACCCTTTTGTTCAGGCATGCGCCCCCACGCACGTCTTCCCCTGGGTGACACTCGGACATCTCGCATCCCCCATTCTCCCTCAGTCTTCTTCCAATGTTACCTCTCCCTGTAGAGCACCTGTGCGGGGATGGGGAGGGATGCCTTGATGGAGAACAGGCCCCTGTACCCCACTGAGCCTCTCTGCGCTACCTCCTTCGCCGTTCTTTGCAGACGGCCACCATGAAGTTCAACCCCTTCGTGACCTCGGACCGCAGCAAAAACCGCAAACGCCACTTCAATGCCCCCTCGCACGTGCGCAGGAAGATCATGTCGTCCCCGCTCTCCAAGGAGCTGCGGCAGAAGTACAATGTCCGCTCCATGCCTATCCGCAAGGACGACGAGGTCCAGGTACGTCTTCTTCGCGCTTTTTACCTAGCTACGTGACTCTCAGACGCGGCCTTTGCCTGAGAACGTCGTGAAGGAGTCACTGCCTTATGCCCTCAGGACCCTGGCAAGTAGTGGGACCTTTAAAATATGTTAGGCCAGAGTCACCAGAGGGTGCCTGCGCTGCTTAAGAGCGTTCAATTCTTTAATAGAAATAATAAAAAAAAAAATACTATGCTAGCCAAGCAAAAATCTGTTTTTCATTTAGCCCCGTGGCTGTCAGTTTGCCAGGGTGGCTCTTTGAACCAAAAAGTGCTGCTGTGAGTCGTATTTTGGTATTTTTGGGTTTACTGTGGTTGATGAACGGGGATTTGTGGGAGCTGGGCATGTGATGGTACTGAATTTGATAGGGAAAATGGAGAAGCAGCAGCAAGTCAGAGATGCAAAAGTATGAAGGTGTGGCCCATGGCGAAAAGTGTAAGCCCTCTCTCTGTCTTCTGTGACTGGAGCTTAGGATGTGTGGAAAAGGGAAGGGAGTTGGGGGTGAGTGAAATAGGCAGGGGCTAGATTCACCTTGGCTTGGTGTTGTCAGCACCACGCTCAGCCAGTGAGCAAACCGGCCATCCCTATATAGGATCCGAACCCGTGGCCTTGGTGTTATCAGCACCGCACTCTCCCGAGTGAGCCACGGGCCGGCCCTAGATTCACTTCCTGAATAAATATTTATTGAGCATTTATCAGACATTGTTCTAGAGGGAAAAGGCCCCTGTTCATGTGGAGTTTTCATTTTAGAGCAGGGTTTCCCATCTTCAGCTCTATTGACATCTTTTTTTTTTTTTTTAAAGATGACCAGTAAGGAGATCTTAACCCTTGACTTGGTGTTGTCAGCACCATGCTCTCCCAAGTGAGCCATGGGCTGGCCCTTCTCTTCACATCTTGGACTGGACAGTTGCTGTGGGGGAGCTGTCCTGTGCATTGAGGAGTGTTTAGCAGCGTCCCTGGCCTCTCCCCACTAGATACTAGTAGCATTCCTCCCCTTCACAATTGTGATAAGCAAAAATATTTCAAGATATAGCCATATGTTCTCTGGGGGGCAAAAGTGACTCTTCCTCACCCAGTTGAGAATCATTGTTTTAGAGAATTAAATGAGAAAGTGATGGGGTTTGGTGTATCATCTGAGGCAGTGGGACTCTTTGTACGTTTAAGGGATATGTTGGGAGGGAAAGACTGGAAGCAGGAGATAAATTAGGCTGAAAGTGTGACAGGAATAGAGTGGAAAGAGTAGTTCAGAGGTATGATCAACAGTTTCAACCTATTCTCTCCTGGATCCTTCCCATATTCTAGAATGGGGGAACTTCAAATACCTGTAGGGGCTGGGTAGACACATTAAATAAGGGAAGTAGGTCTGGATCCCCCTACCAGCCAGCTGCCAAAAAAAAAAGGGAAGTGGGCTGATAAGAAAATGGTGAGCTGGAAAGCTCATACCTCATTTAAAGGAGATAGTCATGCACCTTCAGCCCTTTGCTGCCTTAGAGAAATGCAGGCTCATTGTTGTCAGGTTCTTTGATTTTTGCAAGAAAACTGGAAAATTCAGTTTCTCTTCCCCTGCCCCACATTTCCTTCCAGCCACTACTCTGTTTCCCATTTATAGCCAAGCTCCTTAAAAGAGTTGTCTACACTTCACCTCCCATTCACTCTTGGTTGCTCTCCATTCTGATTCCTGTCTCCAATACACTATAGAAATTGCTTTGATTGAGATCACCAATAAACTCCTTGTGACTAAATCCAGTGGATCCATCTTGGTCTGATCATACTTGACTCTTTTTTTTTTTTGGACCGGTAAGGGGATTGCAACCCTTGGCACAGTGTGGTCTGCACCACGCTCAGCCAGTGAACGCACCGGCCATCCCTATATAGCATCCGAACCTGCGGCCTCAGCGCTCCCAGCACCGCACTCTCCTGAGTGAGCCACAGGGCTGGCCCCATACTTGACTCTTTTTTTAGCAGCATTTAGCACAGTGGTACCACCTTACTTAAAATACTCTCTTTTTGGTTTTTCTTACATTTTAGCCTCCCAGTTTATTTCCAACTTCTCAGACTCCTTTGCTGGCTGTTTGTCCTCTTTCTGATTCCTAAATCCTTGAGTTCGTCAAGCCTGGACCTGGTCTAGCATCTCTTCTTGCTCTGTGTTCTCTCTCTAGGTAGATAATAGGTAATATCTCAGCCAGTGAATGCACCGGCCATCCCTATATAGCATCCGAACCTGCGGCCTCAGCGCTCCCAGCACCGCACTCTCCTGAGTGAGCCACAGGGCTGGCCCCATACTTGACTCTTTTTTTAGCAGCATTTAGCACAGTGGTACCACCTTACTTAAAATACTCTCTTTTTGGTTTTTCTTACATTTTAGCCTCCCAGTTTATTTCCAACTTCTCAGACTCCTTTGCTGGCTGTTTGTCCTCTTTCTGATTCCTAAATCCTTGAGTTCGTCAAGCCTGGACCTGGTCTAGCATCTCTTCTTGCTCTGTGTTCTCTCTCTAGGTAGATAATAGGTAATATCTATTCCCAGAGCTTTAAATGTCTGCTCTGTGCTAACTTATATTCCTCTTATATCCCAATCTGAAACACTTTCCTGAGCAGACCTGTAAGATCTACTTTGAACATCTCTATTTAGATATCTCAGACATCTCTAGCTTCTTATCAAAGAGTACTTCCCCCCACCACCACCACCTTTCTGGGCATTTGACTGGTACTGGGACCCAAACCCTTGACCTTGATGTTATAACACTGCATTCTAACCAACCGAGCTAACCAGCCAGCCCCCAACAACACTGTTGATCCTAACATTCCTGCTGCCTCCAAAATCTGATTCTTCTCCCATTTTCCACATCTCAATTAAGTGACACTTATATCTTCCCATTTTCATATGCCATAAACCTTTAAGTTGTTCTTAACCACTCTCCTTAACCACCATTCTAATCTGCTACCAAGTCTTGTTGATTCAGTCTCCAAAAAAAGTCTTGAATCTGACTCTTTCCAGTTAGTTCAAGGCATCCCAGCTTCTTCTCTTACCCTTGTCCATTCTCCACAGAGAGGTATTATTTGCAAATCAGATCCTACTGAAAAGCTACCAATGGCACTTGATGTGCTTATAAAATCTAAAATCATTGACTACAAGGCCCCATGTGATCTAATCCTGGTCTCCCTCTTCAGCTTCATCTCTTCCTAGTAACTCCACATGCTCTATAGTTTAACCACACTGGCCTTTTTGGGTCTTTAGATACACCTTAATCTTTTCTCTCTATGCCTGGAGTGCTTGTCCACCTCTTCTTTACTTAGCTAACTCCTTATTTTTCAGGTCTTATCTTAAATGTCAGTTCCTCAGAGAAGCCTTCCCAGATTCTTTAATCAGTATTATAGTATAGCATTCTTTATTTTTTCTTCATAGCAGTTAACACAATTTGAGGTCTTTTTTTTTTTTTATCTGAAACATAATTTACATACAGTAAAATGCACAAGTCACTTTTGGCACTTGTAACATAGTCATCACCCTAATGATGACAGAGGCCATTTTTATTATTGCATTCAGTACCCATGTGCACTCTTCCAGTTAGTGATCATATATTTGTATATTTACTTGTTGACTGTTTACTGGCCTCAGATTAGTCTCCTTAAAGCCAGAAAGCTCATCTTGTTTGTTGTCTGACCTCAGTGCGGAGCTGGCACATGGTGAGGACTCAGTCCGTATTTGTGAATGAATGAAAAAATTACTGACTAGATGGATGTGAAAAGTGAAATGAAGGTGGGCAGGGAAGAGCTGCCAGTTTTTGAATACTTATAAGGTATGAATTGTTTCCTTTTTAAATATGAAGAAACTTGAGAAAAAGAAGTACCACATGTTCTCACTTATTGGTGGGAGCTAAAAAAAAATAAACAAATTAATTTACCCACAAACACACACACACAAAAAACCGGGGGTGGGGGGTGGGGAAGAAGATATAACTACTATACTTTTTTTCATCGCCTTACCGTGAACAGCTTCCCTCCCATCACTTCACTGAAAGCACTCTAGCCATGGCCACTAGTAACCTTGTTGTCAAATTTGTTAAATACTTTATCCTCTCTGTATTTGATGGTTCTGCAGCATTTGACATTCTTTTCTTGACTGTTGTAACACCACACCCTCACGGTTTCCTGTTCTCTCTGGCCACTTTGGTCTCTCTTTGAAGCTCTTCCAAAATGTTGATTTTTCTCATATTTCTACATCCTGCCCTGTTCTCATACCATCAGGTCTCTGAGCAAAAAGAGGCTTCAAATTGCATCTCTGGATGACTCCCACATCTCTGACCCAGTTGGCCTTCCAACTGTGTGAAATTCTCCACTAGAATGTCCCCAGATGCCTCAAATTCAACATGTTCCAAACTAAACTATATTCTAAAATCTGTTTCTTTCCCTGTGTTCCATGCCTCTGGGAAAGGCATATCCATACCATCCATCCAGTTGCCCAACCCAGACTTTGAGTATGGTTCTTGCCTCTTTGCTCTCACCTGTCCAGTCCAGTCAGTTTAGTTTTATCCCATCTCTCTCCTCACTGAGTCTAGAGTTTGTCTACTTCTCTTTATCCTGGCTGTTCCTTTAGACTCTTTTTATTAACACCTTTCTTCAGTCTTGATCATAGTTAATGGGCTTTTTCAGACTTCTTACAAGTGTGTCCTGAGAGTCTATGGTGGATTTTTCAATGAGGCATAGCTGTCCTTTTTTCAACCTGAAAATCACCTTGAAAAGTAAGCTGAACAATCTTGGTAGACAATTTAGGAGTCTTGAGATTCTCTAATTCTTTATTTTTTCTTTATTTTTCTAATAAATTTCTCTCAGGTTGAACCTCTCATTTTTTTTTTCCTTTTTGTCTTTTTTAATGACCGGTAACGGGATCGCAACCCTCGGTGTTGCGCCCGCACCGCGCTCAGTCAGTGAGCGGGAACCGGTCTCCACATGGGATCCGAACCCTCGGCGGGAGCGCCGCCGCGCTCCCAAGCGGCACACTCTCCAGTGCGCCACCGGGCCGGCCCGAACCTCTCATTTTTTATATGTGGTATTTTCTCTATGCCTATTAATCTAATCAATGTGGGAGGAGGGGATTAGAGTGTAATACCCTCCAAACTGAAAAGGAACTTTCAGACCAAAGAATGAAGCAGGCAAATACATACAAAGATTTTTACTAAAAGGGTAAGCTACATACAGGGAAGGTCACACACAGTGAAAATCAGACGTTTATAGCAGATGAGAGCGCGTGCTCTCTCTCTCTCTCTCTCTCTCTCTCTCTCTCTCTTTCTCTGTCTCTGTCTCTGGCTTTTAGGTAAGGCTTAGCTAGCATAACTTCAAAGAAATAGTTTAAGAAAAGTAGGTTTCCTGTGATCTATGAAGCAGGGAACTTGCGATGCTTGTGCATAGACTAGCTGATAGCAGTTGTGATGAGTCATCTAGTCCCTAAGTCCTATGTTCTTGTTATGCTTGCCCTAAGGTTAATCTATAACTGGTCAGTGAAACAAAGGAATGAGGTTAAACAGAAGTCATTAAGGTGGGCAGGGCACAAGATGGCATTATTCCTGTTAACCCTGTTAACAGTCATTGTCCATTTATATTACAGATAAAAGAAGGAAAAAACTCAGGTGAAGAATTTCCACCTGACCTAGCATAACACAAAGCAGATTTATCCCATAAAAATAGCTGACGTTTGATTGCCAAGATTAATCTGTTTCTGTAAAAAAGGTTGTATGTTTAGCCTATGTGTTCCTGATAATTAGCTTCCACATTATGATGTTCATGCTTTAGAAATATGAGGGAAATTCTCTTTTGTATTTTCTCTTAGGTGGTTCGAGGACACTACAAAGGTCAGCAAATTGGCAAGGTAGTCCAGGTGTACAGAAAGAAATATGTCATCTACATAGAGCGAGTGCAGCGTGAGAAGGCTAATGGCACAACTGTCCATGTGGGCATTCACCCAAGCAAGGTATGGTTTGGGACTGGGTGGTGGTAGCAGCCATGTAGCATACTGTTACTGTTAGAGTAATTGACATGTTGGTACTGTCTACACAGGTGGCTGAGGTAAGGACTTCAAGAGGCTTGATTGATTCAGTGGCTTAGTGATATCATCAAAGATTCTTTTCTTGTCTGTTTTGCCATCCTGGGTTAAGCCTCTGGCTTCAAGCTGGTGGCAAGAGGGCTCCAAGCATTTCAGGCAATGCTTCCCCACTAGATAAGTCCAGAGGGAGAAGAGAGAACATCCTTTCCTGTGGCTCTTGTGCTGACCTAGTAGAATATGCTGTTCCTCCTTTGCGCTCCCTTTTTGTACATCGTGATATAGGGTCTTTCTCCTTCCACAGTTTCAGATCCTTAAGGGTAGAATGGTTGGGGTCTTACTAATTCATATGATCTCTGTATTGCCCAGTAGCTAGTGGCAATGCAGATTTTTTTTAAAACAATGCATCTTGCCAGCCAGCCAAGGGATGATGAACAGATTTTCCCAGCCCAAATGATATTTCATCACTAAACTTTATTTATTTATTTATTTATTTTTTAAAAAGATAACTGGTAAGGGGATCTTAACCCTTGACTTGGTGTCATCAGCACCACGCTCTCCCAAGTGAGCTAACTGGCCATCCCTGAACCCGTGGCCTTGGTGCTATCAGCACCACACTCTCCCAAGTGAGCCACGGGCTGGCCCTTAAACTCTATTTAAGTGGTCTCCTCAGGTCCTCAGGAATTAGGGGGTGGGAGATTGGCTTAGCAGAAGGAACCCAAGTACTATGATACAGGATGGTTGTGGTGATAAGTCCTTTCCACTTAAAAAAAATAAAGATTTGTTTGTTTTCTCATTCCTTAATAGGTGGTTATCACCAGGCTAAAACTGGACAAAGATCGGAAAAAAATCCTTGAACGAAAAGCCAAGTCTCGACAAGTTGGAAAAGAGAAAGGCAAATATAAGGAGGAACTTATTGAGAAAATGCAGGAGTGAATATAACCTGTTGTGCAGCCACGGTTTAACTGCAAATTTTTAGCCTAGTGTGTGTTTCTTTGGAATTTTTCAAAATTTCTCTGGAACGTTTCATTTGCCTTCCGTTTTGTTACTGATCTGTGGCTCTATATCCACGTTTGCGACTTTGATTAATTTGGAAATGTTTCCTAATTTTGAATGGTATTTGCAATGTTTTATAAGTAAAATCCATCTTATTATCAATTCTCCTTTGCCAGTCTTTCATACGTTTAATCTGTGGAGCAACAAAACAACAGTGGTGGGATTAAGACAGCCCTGCCTCTGTCTGGACCCTCGTGCTGATGGAGTGGAAAGGGTAGGGCTCTGGTCCCTGATGCAAGGGTTTGCCTCATTCAGTAGCAGTTGTGACATGAACTGGCACACTCAAGGTTCCACTGAGAATCTGGTGCTGCTTTGCATCCATGGCTCTCAGGCCTGACTTGTACATCTCCAGATTCCTCTTCATGTGCCAACCAAAACAAATCCCATGCTACTCCCTGACTAGATTCTCTTTCCCAGGGTCTTGATTGCAAATGCCATTTCCATGTGAGTGAATTTCCCCTTTCTTTTGGAGCTAACTCAGAAAATTGGTGGCCTTATAGGCGAGATTTGACTCTTGGATTTTGTCCTTATATTGTTTTTATAATTTTTAAATATTTCCAACATTTAAAATGTGGGATGGTTAGCTGGGTTGGTTAGACTTGCCTTCTTTTCAGGAATTTATTCTAATACTAGTGGTAAATAAGAGCTTTCAGAGTTGTAGTGCCACAAAGACATCCAAATCATACAGACTGCTTGTGCTAGGCCAAGTGAATAATAGTTCATGATCAAGAGCAGGAACTTGGCCTTGAAATTAAGTTCTAATCCGAGCTCTGTCATCTAGCTGTGTGACCTTGGGCAAATTGTTTAAAACCTCTCTGGTCCTCAGTTTTATCATTTATAAAATGGAAATAAAACTAGTATCTTCCTCAATAGAATTGTCAGATTTATTACTTGAGATACTGTTCATAAGCACAGAGTACTTGGGAAAGTTTAACTATTGTCTTTTAGAGAAAATTGGCAATGGAATCATTCAGAGTAGCAGAGGGAAAAGTTTTTCTCAAGGGAGTTCAGACAAATGGCTGGTTCTTGAATAAAGGGAAAGGTTTAAGGGCAGCAGTGACAAGTAAAAAAAATAAGGGCAGCAGTGATGTGTTTTGGCTGCTGCACAAAATGGGAATGGGAGAATGCCAGATGGGTGGGCTTGCCTATCAAGGTTCAGGCCCTGGGGTATTAGCTTGTTTCCTGCAATGATGAATTAAGTAGTTTTCTACTGACCTTTTCGTCAAATTTGCAGATGTTCATTCCCTTGAGTGAGTCCCCTTGTGCTATTTTGGGAAGACTCCAATCTTTTAAACTTCAAATAACTGCTTCTAAATGTCTGCTTTTATATTGCACTCAAGCATGAGATGTTCAGCCACAGAGCTTTCCTTGTGAGTTGGGTAGGCAAGTAATTGAATCTTCCCAGCACCCAGACAATTTACTAATCAAGAGTCCATCATCCTCTGCTGATGCTACGGACTTTGAGCAGTTCCCAGGTGTTGACTTGGGTCTTTGTTCATTGTTCTTTTAAATTAGTTAAAAAAAAAAAAAAAAAAAAAAAAAAAACAACGACAAAACATGGTATAAAATAAAAAGATGCAAAAGATAGATGGTGAAAAGTTTCAGTCACTCAATTCTCTCCAGAGGCAGTACTGTTCCTGATTTCTTCTGTATCCTTCCAGAAATATTCTATGCATAGTCCATTCTATGGATGTTTATTTAAAATTTGGTCCATGAAGAAGCCTTCATGAGAAAAGCAGTTTGCCCAAATTTAAACAGCATAATAAGGTTGATTTATGTATTGCCTGAACACCATAATTACAATATAAACATGCACAAATATGAAATAAAATATTCTTTGTCAGAGATAGATAACTAAATCAGCCACATCCCAGCCTATCCTTAGCAATAGGGCAGCTGGTTCTAGACTAAGTTTTCAAAGGTCTCTTCTTACACAGTTGATGTCTCTATCTGATAAAGTTCTATACAACGTTGGTTTTTTGTATGCTGTCTTTATTTGAAATAGAGTCGACACGGCTTAGGGGAAGAACAGGAGCTATGATGACCCATGTACGGATCCTAGCTTTGTCACTTAAAACAGCTAGACTTTGGGCAAGTTACGAATCTGGGCTTCTTTTTTTCCTCACGTGTAAAGTGGATTTAATAATGGCTATATCAGTGGTTGTGACTCTTAAAGGAGAGAGGTAATTGAAAGCATCTAGTCCAATGTCTGGCATGTGACAGTCACTCAGGAAACGGGCTGGTTGGTTAACTCAGTTGGTTAGAGCGTGGTGCTGATAACACCAAGGTCTAGAGTTTGATCCCCCATATCAGCCAGATGCCAAAAATAAAAAAAAAAATACAAAAACAAAAAAACAAGAAATGCTGCCGTAATGGTAGCATGTTCCATACATAAGAAAATGAGTAGTGAATCTTGCTGACGTTTTCAGCTTTTCCAGTAATTTCCAAGCTTCCAGAATAGATTGGAAAGGAGCTTTCTGACTCCATAGCTTTGTGACTCCACAAGCCTGTTTTTATTTATAGGATTGGGCTTAAGAAAGGGGCTCCTCAGCTTGTTGCACTATAAGTGTTTCAGTCAGCTCTTGCTTCCTTTAGGCTGCTAGCGTTGCCTCTGAGGCTGTTCCTCCAGTAGCACTTCTCAAAAGTTTTGGTCTCAAGACCTGCTTCCATATTTAAAAATTATTGAGGATCCAAGGAGCTTACATTTATGTGGGTTATATCTATCCATATTTGCCATATTAGAAATTAAAACAAAAATGTTAACATTTATTTTAAATTCATTTAAAAATAGCAATAATAAACCCATAACATTAACATCAATAACATTTTTATGGAAAATAACTGTCTTCTAGAAAACAAAGGAAAAATGTAGTGGGAAGAGTAATATTGTGTTACATTTTTCCAAAATTTCTTCATGTTTGGTTTAACAGAAGACAAAAGATTCATGTAATACTTCTGCATTCAACCTGTTGCAATATGTTGTTTTGGATGAAGTATAGGAAGAAAATTAAGCCTCACAGTTAGAAAAAGACAGGCCCTCTCAGACCTGCTAGGAGAGTCTCAGGGACTCCCCAGGGTTCTTTGGACCACTCTGCCAGAGTCTGATTTATTTCCTGAAGACTTTAAGCACTTTGAGGGCATAGAATATGTCTTCATTTTGTGGGTCACTGAATTGGAGTTCCTGGCTTTACAGTTTTCATTTGGAATGTGTGATAAAATGTTTTTGACAGATTGACTGATAGAGGGAGCTATTGGCCAATACTAGCCCACAAGTACAATACTGAGAGATTAAGGATTTATGTCACAGAGGATGAAACAGATTTAAACAGAACTGGTGTCTAAAGAGCCATGTCCCTGCAATCTCCGACATTTGCTTCTTAAAGAAGCTGCCAAGAAGGTGAGGCAAAAGTTAGACACTCCACTTAAGGGGGTTGGCTGGTTAGCTCAGTTGGTTAGAGTGTGGTGTCAATAACACCAAGGTCAAGGGTTTGAATCCCTATACTGGCCAGTCACCCCCAATCCCCAAAACACTCTATTTAAAAGGATCAATTTAGGAGAAAATATTTACGTTTATTGAAAAAGCGGGTAAGAATTCACAATTGCAAAAAAGTGGAAGCAACCAAATGTCCATCGATGTATGAATGAATGAAGATGTGGTATATACATACAATGAGATATTATTCAGCCTTAAAAAGGAAGGAAATTCTGACGCATGCACAGTATGGATGAACCTTGAGGACATTATGCTAAGTGAAATAAGCCAGTCACAAAAGGACAAATGCTGTATGATTTCACTTATGCAAAGTATCTACAGTAGTCAAATTCAGAGAGACAAAGTAGAATGTCAGTTGCCAGGGGCTGTTGGGAGGGGAAATGGGAGGTTGTTTAAAGGGTATGAAAAAGTTCTGGGGATTATTTGCACAACAGTGTGAATACATTTAACTGCATGCTTGAAAATGGCTAAGATGGTAAATTTTGTTAATGTATTTGACCACAATTATAAATAAATAAATAAGAAATGGGAAAGAAAAGTGGTGAACAACTTTCTCTAATTTAGTTCTGGCTGATCTCACCCTTTCCTAACCAATTCAGTTGTGCAATTGTGTATGGAGCACATTTTGCTTAAAGTGCTCTCAGAAACAAAG